GTGTGTTCTAAAGCCATTCTAGCAAACAATACCCCTGTAGGGACCTGTACTTCCTAATGAGGCTCAAACCTGGCCTAGGGCTGAACATTAGCTGCCATTACTTTCATAGTTAAACATTTGCCTTTCTTTGGCAGCAATGGCAATGGCAGCTAATGTTCATAGAGCATGTCACATGCTTTAAGTCATTTAAGACTGTTCACTGAGAGATGTTTGGTTTTGAGTACATGTAAACTTCCTGTTTTTCAGTGAAAGTCAACAGGAAAGTGGGCTTTACTTTTCAGACTCAGTTTGGCTGGAATGGATAGTGTTTATTGGCAAGGACAGGGTTAGCTGTTTGGCCAGCACACTAACTTAGGTGGATTTCCAGTAGTGTAAGGTAAGGGTCTCTGCAAGCCAAATAAAAGGCGTTCTGTTGACTTTTCATGCAAAGTCCTCTTGACTTGTTTTACTAATTTGAAAATCAGTGTTAATAATCAAAAGGACAAAGCATGTTGTCTTTTAAATTGTTTTCACTTAAAGCATTTTTTCTGCATAAAACTAGAAGAAATAAAAAATTCATCTTTTTATAAGAAGATATTTTATAGCATGAATATGTTTCCTCTTATGAGATTTAAAAGCAAGTATTCCTTTAATGGTTGAATACACAGCATTTCACCAAAGATGCAAAAAATCATTTAGGATTATTTTATTCCATAGGCTCCCTAAATATATTATCAGAACATAAATTTACCGCTTGAATCCAGAAAAAAATAATCTATTTCCTGCCTTACGTAATAAGATGAAAGCTTGAAGGTAAAAAGAATGAACAACCATGTGAGAGACTGGGTATGTACATCTTTTAAAATTAGGTCTTTATTCTTCACTGGCACTTCTGAACTCAATAGTGCTACAACCAGGCTCCCTCATAAAAAGAGATAATAAGAATTCCTTATCATAATGTCCTGGAAGTCTTAGAAGCACAAAATCAAGGAGTAAATAAATCATAAACTAAACTTCAACTTTTGAGCACTGTGCATTTTTAAAATGCTGAATGTAAGGCTTTTAGTCCTCTTTATATAGGATAAAGTTATTAAGCTTTTCAAAAATATGGAATAGTTTAAATTCCTTTCTAAAACCTCTGCCCACTGTCGACTTACCATTTACACTGTGGCACAATTCAGAGGAGTTGATTAGTGGGGATATTTTATGGCTTAGCAAAGCATAATACTTGTTGAATAAATGAAGCCCACTGCTTTGAATAGTCCACCATAAAGTTGCACTTCCTGATTCTACTGCTGCCTACACAAGATATTTGACTTCTCCTCCTTCTTCACCCCAAAGTCACCCACCTCTCCCATGTGTCCCTGAAGTCTAATGACAACATAAAAAGGCGGCAGAAAACCAAAAGGGGAGGAGGACTTTTTGAATGTTCTTAGATACAAATCCAGGCAAGTAAAAAACTATGACAAGAACAACAGCAACAAGAAACCATGGATACTGATGATCTCTTGACCTGCTCCTATATTCCTGGAATCTTTCTGTAAAGGAGATAATTTTAGTCTGCCGTGTAATTATTCCTACTTACCGAGGCCTATTTCAATTTGAAACCCACTGCAGACTGAAATATGCCAAGATCTTTCATTAACACGCCATAGATTTTCTTTTCATTATAAATCAAACTAAATAGGTCATGATTGCTTAATCAGTATGCAAAGTATTGCCTCTGGGAATCACACATATCCTCTGACAGCTACAATTTTTTTTTAGTGCTTTGAAATCTAATTCTACCCAACCTAACCCGATCAACAGCTCATCATTTCTTCACATCAAATTTTTCATCATATGAGGTGTAGATTTTGTTCTGGAATGGGTATCATGAACAACACTAAGAGCAGGGGTTTAATTAATTCAGAGGGATACAGATTTTGTTATCGCTTCTCCATATAATTAAGGCCCTCTGCCTTCCCTCAGTAACTAAGAAGAAAGGGTTGGAGACAGACCCTTTCCCAAAATTTATGGTTGATAGACTTATGTCTACTCTTAAAGAGAGGGATTGGTTCTTCCCTACAAAGGAAAGTTCACTTCAGTCCAAAAGGTTAGTGAGTTCGTGACCATTTATATTTATTAAGTAATCTCCAAGGAAATCTCATCTAGTCATCCAGCGCTCGATGAATCCCAAATGTCCATTTCTGCCTTAAACTTTTCCACTGAGTTGTCCTCTCAGTCTATAAATTTGTTTATATCCTGGGCATTTCAGACATTATAGAGCCAAAACAAATTCTTGGGCTTCTCCTCCAGACTTGTTTCTGAATCTTTCTCACAGCAGCAAATAATCACTTGATGTCAACAGAGTGTCAGAGGCTGTCCTGCAGGCTTTACAAACGTTAACTTACTGAATGAATCTTCACTACCTGTGGGATTGGTATTAAGATGATCTGCCTTCATGAATGCAGCAAGGCCTAGATTTCAACCCAAGCAACGGTGAGCCTAACCACAATGCTAGTAAACAGTTCTGACGCTCACTCATGTCTACGTCTAGCCCAAGTCAAAGACCTAGATATCACACTGGGTCCTGCTATTTCCTTCATCATCCACCTGGAAACCACTGCTGGTCTGTTCTCCAAATCCTTTCTATCCTCCTTGTCCAGGATTTTGTCAAACAGACAAACAAACAACAACAATAAAACTCAAACTCTGTCTTCCTAACTAGACTCTAAACTCCATAACCCCAGGAAATAAATCTGGGCTACTCATCCAGCAAAATGCTTTACATTAAGTAGACCACCTGGCTATAAAACCAACTTGTGGCTGGGCGCCGTGGCTCATGCCTGTAATCCCAGCACTTGGGAGACCGAGGTAGGTGGATCAACTGAGGTCAGGAGCTCAAAACCAGCCTGGTCAACATGGTGAAACCCCATCTCTACTAAAAAATACAAAAATTAGCCGGGCGTGGTGGTGGGCACTGGTAATCCCAGCTACTCGGGAGCCTGAGGCAGGAGAATTGCTTGAACCAGGGAGACAGGGGTTGCAGGGAGCAAACACGGTGCCACTGCACTCCATCCTGGACCATAGAGTGAGACTCCATCTCAAAAAGAAAAAAAAATTGTTTTTCAAACGTGGAAAAACACAAATTAGACATTATTCCCTGTGAGAAGAGGCTAGAAACCTTCCTTGAACTTGCCAGTCCTACTTCCAGTCCCAGGAGGAATATGAATCTCTCCCCTCTCTTCCCCAATGAGACCTTGCACAAACTTGACACTCTCTCTGCTAGACATTCCCACTTCCCTGCCAGGGACCGTTCTCCTTCAGCAACAGAATTGCCAGCATTGCCCTGCCTTTCATTTGATTAGTTTACTTATGCAATGTGATTAGGAAGGCCAAGCAGGAAGGTCTTCCTGGTTCTTATACCCCACAGGGAAGTTCAGACCAGTGTAATATGAAGCCCTCAGGCCTGAATTAAATACAGAGGTGACCAGACCCAGAGAATTAAAGATTGTTCAGCCTTCCACTGTCAGGGCCATTAGTTGGTATTGGCCACCAAAGTGGAAAGACAGTGGCCAAAACTACGAACAGATAAGCTTATTTAATTTAATGCCTAACATCCAGTTATCCTTTCAGGAGATTGTTCATATGGTGTTGCAATTTATCTTTTAAATTGCTGCACATCAATTTGTGGTTTCTTTTTTTTTTTTTTGCATAATTGTCATCATTAGGTTGGGGAAGGTTGATTAGCTTGTGGAGATAAACTGACAAGCTCCCTGGCTCCATCCTGCCTGACTCTGGGCTGTGCTCTGAACCTATCTAGTTGAGTTCTTGGGGTGCACAGGCATATAACCGAATAGGACTGCTAGGCCATATTTAGGGGGAGAGAAACATTCTCATTCTTATGGAAACTAAAAAAGTTGGGGAGATACGCTCATTTTACACCCAACTCCTCATACCAAGGACATTTTCACATAAGAGCAAAAAGTCTTACACCTTAGTTCTTAGGAACCAGCAGGCAAAGTTGGCTGCTGGCAAAACTGAAATAATTGCTGTCAATAATTGCTGTACCTCTTCCTACTATCAGGTCTCTCTATATCTAGGAGAAAGACAGAAAAATTGACTCCTACTTAGGTATTAGGAAAGCAATATCTTTCCCTTCCAAAGTGTGATAGTAGAGAAGAAAATGCATAACCCAAAGACAATTTCTTGATGGTGAAATTTGGGATGAAAGTTAAGGCTAGGGATAAAGCCTCTGTGATTTCCTCACCAGTCCCTAACCCCCAACACACAAAAAGAAGAAAAGTCACATCACATATGTGAGGTACTCCCCTTTGGTACAAGACTCCCTGGCAGGTAAAATATTTTACAACATTAGAAAAGTACCATCATCATTAAATATTTCATGCGACTTGAGAATAATCTAATAAAAAAGGTATGATTGTAGATTAATCAATATTATTCTGTACCTTGCCTAACACAAGACAATAATGGCAAAGCCAAAACCATTTCTATTGGTCTAAACCCAGCTCTAAATATTCCCTAGAATAGTGAGAATGAAAAATTCAAAACAAAAGATCAGAAGTACAAGATTTTCTTTGTAAATCAGTTGCCAGCAAGTCAATATTGAAACTGCCAACCACTTTTGGAAGACATACATAATAAGTGTCAAGTGTGCTGAGCAGAAAACACCTTCCCATTCATAGTTTTTATAAGAAAAAGTAAAAAAAAAAAAAAAGTATATGTATATTTAACAAATGTTTAAAAATATAAAGAGAAAAACATTTAAACAACTTAATGAAAGTAGTCTGAGTGAAAATAGAGTTTCAGTGAATGAAGTTTTATCTCATGAAGCTACCTTATAGTCTACTTCACATGCAACGTACTTAATGATTATTCATATTTCTTTGCTTTGCTTCTAGAGAAAGTATTTTTTTCCTAGCGTCATGCACCAAATCAGCCTTGTATGAAAAACACAACACAACAGAGTGAGAAACCAGCAGGCTGAGTTAATAAAACACTGTTCGTATCATACTTACGCAGTGGTAGTCTGCATGTCATGCCAGCTTTTGCTGAAGTTCTGTTTTAATTCATTCATCAGGTTCATGCCGAGTTTTTGTTTTATCTCAACCAGATGCCTTTCTTTCGCTGACAAAACTTGTCGTAGTGTTGTAATTTCGTCTTCTAGCTACAAGGAGGAGGGGAAATGGTGGGGGAAAATGTCAGACCAGCAAAAAAGGATACTTACAGAAGCTCTGGGTGTTCCAAAGCAGCCTCTGACCCTCCTAGTTCTACAATCCCACGTGCGGCTTTGCCAAACAAATCCCATACAGGTGATAGTCTTAATGTCTCAAAGTAGAAACAGGATTTTTCATTTTAATCATTAGAGAAGTAATCAATGCTGCTTGTTAAAAAGAAGTCAGATTGTACAGAAAAACATAAACAAAAAAATAAAAGTCAGCAGTAACCTACTAGGAAATAGCTATTGCTTATTTTTTGTTCCTAAACTTCCAAATGTTATTTATATAAGTTGTATATAAACATAATTTTTAAACAAAAATTGGTTTTCTATTGTACTCTTATTTTATATAACTTCTTCACAAGTGTCACTAGTCAGTGTTTATTTTTATTTAGTTATTTATTTTAAAGAGACAATGTCTCACTATGTTGACCAGGCTGGTCTCGAACTCTTGGCCTCAAGGGATTCTCCTGTCTTGACCTCCCAAAGTGTTGGGATTGCAGGTGTGAGCCACCACACCTGGCCTCAGTGTAGTTTTTTGCCAGCCACACACAGTTGCATTGGTGCAGGAATAGAATTGGCAAGCAATGGGGTTTTGCCAATCTAAAGCCTTAAGAAAGGGAGGAAAACAGGAGTAGAGGATGTATGTAAAGGAATGATTTGTGATAATTTTCTTTTTAACAGTTTTATTGTCCTATAATGGACATACAATAAGCTGCAGACATTTAAAGTGTATATATATAATTTGTAAGCTTTAATATATGTATCTACCTGTGAAGCCATTATCACAATCAAGGTAGTGAACATATTCATCGCCTTTTAGTTGCTTTTTGTCATTCCTCCCTCCCTCTTCTATCCTCTTCCCCAATCCACCCTCACCAGACAGCCACTCACTTACTTTCTTTCCCTAGAGTTTAGTTTGCAGATATTTCCTAGAACTTTCTATCAATTGAGTCATAGAGTATATACTCATTTTTGCTTGGCTTTGCAGCATAGTTATTTTACATTCATCTATGTTGCTGCATTACCAATGGTTCTTCCCCTTTTTTCACAGAGTAGTATTGCACTGAATGGATATACCGGGTGTGTTGTTTATTTACCTATTGAGGGACATTTAGGTTTGGCTAACGCAAATAAAGCTGCTATGAACATTCATGTATAAGGCTTCGTATGGGCATGTTTCCTCTTTCCCCTGTGCTACAGAAAAGCAGATCTCTTCAGCACTATAAAATTGCTCTTGCAAATGTAATTTCTAACAAAGAGGCTCTGTAAAGTACTCAGATTTTGAAAAGCTCTGTTTTATCCTGTGAAGATAAATCTGACTAAACCACAAAGTCTTTGATTTTAATTATTTGTTATACTCTATAACTTATTGCTCCGGTAACAGTGCTTACATTTACATTTTTGTTTTTTGAAAAGTATAAATGCTTGTTACTTTTTCTTGTTAATGCAGAAAAGATTCATTAGAACTACCTTAGGATTCCCTATGCATGGAGGTAATAAAAGTCTGTCACTTTAGTAGATTTCTTACTAAATTTTTTTTAAAAGGAGTAACTGTGGCTCATTTACATGTAAAGTATCACTCTACTTTGGACCACAAGCTAGTCCAACCTTGTCAGCCTGTCAGTCATCTTGCAAACACATTCCTTGGATCACCAGAGACATAGCTCCTAGGAAAGCAGCTCAAGAAAGGCATCTGCCTCTGCAAAAACAAAACATGCAAAACAAACAAAAACCAAAAACCCACCACAGTCTTTTACTAGCCCCAGTAGTGAACAGACAGGAATGGTTCTGTGAAACTTTACATAAACAAATAATGACGTAAGCAAAACAAGCAGAAATACTGAATCACAAGCATCTTAAAAATACCACAGTAAGAAGTAACAATATCTTGGGGTTTTTAATATCAGCAAAATGTCCTGGCAACTTAACATTATACATTTCTTTATGTTCATGGAACATTTTTTATATGTACATGGAAATCTTTCTAAAATGAATTACACATTCTACAAACATAGTATAATCAATAGAACCTTCTCTTTCTTTGATGAGCAAGAGTCTTCAGTGTGCATACATACACTGATTACTGCAAAAGGAGTATACTCAGGGACCTCCAAAGAGAAGAATGATTTTAGTCTCTCCATTAAATGAGAATACACTATTATTTTAAAATTAAACGCCTCCATTCTTTTGTTATCATGGGATATTTCTTTTTCATCTTTATCAAGGCGTCCTCCTCCATTTAATCTGCTGCCCAATATTTCTCATGGTTGTATCTCTTGCTCTTTTGCCACAGAAAATCCTTGGGGTTCATGTCAGCCTTTTATTCTCCATTAAAAAGTCCTTCTCTGCTTTCTTTCATTTAGAGTGACTGAAATTACTGGGAGTCTGTTTTTTTGTTGTTGTTGTTTTGTTTGTTTTTTGGTATATTGAGTGTTACTGTATTTTCCGCTGTGCAAAAATATAATGGGAAAAATTTTAACTTGCTGAAATAAATTACAGATGTACACAAGGAGAAAGAAGCTTGAACATCTTAATAGTCTCAACCTCACAGCCATAGAGTCCCATAAGTGTATTAAAAATCACAGGGGGCTGTGGATTATTCATTTGTTATCTGGAGGTAGGGAGTGAGTAAAGGATTCAAAGTTACTGTTAAATTTTTAATAAAATCTTGATCCCCAAAAAGTGATAGAGAGAAACATAAGGTGACCAACTTACCAAACATTATTGTAAAAAAAGAAATATAAAGTCCCATACTTAATAATTTAAAATTTCAGGCATACTTTAAAAGGTGTGTATGGGGAAGAGGCCTCTAATAATGAAGACATGGAGTCAGCTATTTAAATTGGGTGTATTCTCAGATTCTATAATAATATTCTAACCATTTCAATGCAATATGAAGACTCACACTTCTCAAAACATTCAGAATATTTATCAGACATCTAAATATATGCCAAAAACTCTATTAAGCAAATACCCAAAGTTGGAAAAACAGGCAATCTTTAATTACATTAACTTGTAAGGTTCCAAAGGGTCAACCACTTCTCATTGTACAGAGCCAAGGGTCCTACCACAATGAGGTGTTTAATTACAAATACCTTAAAGGCTGCTGCTGCTGAACTTCAGTCCTTTATTTGACCAAGATCATTTGGTCTAGTTATCTCAGAGGCTCTCAACTTCACTTTAAATAAGATAGCATATTTAAAATTCAGATTCCTAGGCACCTGCTGCCTTTTAAGGCCCTAAGGGTTCAATGCCTTAGATTTGTTGGAGGCAGACTACTTACGTTATTTAGCAAGCACCCTCAGATATTCTAATGCAAGAAGTATGGAAACTCTATATTGTGAGTACTTCTGTAAGCCACATCAAATTTGGAATGAGATGAAGTGGAAGTAAATCACATTAATGAATTAAAGTATTTAATATGTCTTTTCCTTTTAATTTAAAATAGTTATTTCTTCATTACAAATTAATGGTCTAGTTCTTTGCTTTCCTGACTCCCTAGGAGAAAATATTTATGCCCAAGATTAGATATTTAAGCTTGATTATTTAAATATGAATTAACAGGAAAATAACAAGTATTGACAAAGATGTGGAGGAATTGGAACCTTTGTACATTACTGGTAGGAATGTAAAATAGTTCCTCTACTGTGGAAAACAGTTGGGCAGTTTCTCAGAAAGTTAATTCTGGACCCAGCAATTCCACTCTGAGGTGTATCAAACAAATACATAGACACACATGTTCATAGCAGCACTATTCACAATAGATTAAAGGTGACTACAACCCAAATGTCCATCAAGAGATGGACGGATAAATAATAGTAGATAAATAAAATTGAATATGATTCAGCCATAAAAACAATGAAATACTAAATCATGCTCAAAACATCAGGCTGAGTGAAAGAACCCACACACAAAAGGTCACATACTGTATGATTCCATTTACATGAAATATCAGGAATAGGTAAGCCCATAGAGATAGAATGAAGCCTGATGGCTGCCAGAGCCTGGGAAGTGGGAAATGGAAGCAACTCCTTAATGAGTGCAAGTTTCCTTTCAGGATGGAGGAAATATTTTGGAACCAGGCGGATGTGGTGGTTACACAACACGACATTGTGAGTGTACTAAATGCCACTGCATGGGTCACTTGAAAATGGATACTTTTATGTTATATATATTTATCTTAAGAAAAATGCAAAAAAAAAAGTGAACTAACTAGTGTGAATCAGCTAATGAATTGCTTCAGTATGAAATTTCTAAAAAAATTTTTCTATTTTATCTGCTAGATTACATAAAGTTTCTAACTGCAACCCAGAAGAAAAAATTCTTTCATAAACTAGGAATCATCAGTATGTTGCTGAGGAGTAACCACATCTGGTCTCACATGCACATGGCTTCAGGTCTGCCTCTCTGGGCTACTCTTCCTGCCTTTGGCTAACAGACCCAAGATTAAGCTGCAGATACTGTCTGGGAGGGGCGTAATAATAAGATGTTATGGTTATGAACACATTAGCCATCCACTAGCTGGGTCTACAAAGAGTTAAGGTCTTGAGGAAGGACCTGAGAGAGAGAGAGGCCCAGAGCCTAAGGCACTTCTTTGCAAGTGTAAGACACAGTTAGATTGAGGGCACTGGGTGTCTGGGACCCACACATACAAAAGGAAGAGGAAAGAGTCAAAGGAGAGATCGATGGAGCATGAAAATAGGCTTTACCTACTTAATAATGCTGTCTGGTATTTTTCCTATTCCTATTAATGCCTATTTTTTCTTAAGTCATCTTATCTCAGGGACGTTGGCAGTATTCGGTTGTTATATAATCACAAATTTACAGTACTAATGCCAAAACTTTATCCTTTTCGAAAGGCAAGACACATTATGAAATACTAAACATAAAATGCAGCTTAGTGGAATTAAAGTGGGAGTGGGATGATAGTGGCGCAGAATTATTGGGCAAGTGTATTTAAAAAGGGAGAGGGAAAAAAACCCAGATGTGTAAAGACCTCAGAAAAGCTCTCTGGTAATAAGACTAATGAGAACAAATGTCTAAAACAAAAGAGTACTTCTTTATTTATTGACAAGTTTTGTTTAAAAAAAAAAGCGTATTCTACTTTTGGCATTTACAAATATAAATGTTCATTTAAAGTATAAAATAATTCAAGTTAATTATAAATACTAACTACACACCTCCTGTGAATGAACCACTGCACCAGATCACAGGTAATATTGGCCTCGCACTTGACGAACTTTAAAAAAGACACATATTGCATGACCACAACAATAAGTTAAAGATCATGTTATGTTAAAAGAGAGTTCTCTTTTGTTGTTGTTGTTGTTGTTGTTTGGTTTGTTTTTTGAGATGGAGTCTTACTGTCTCCCAGGCTGGAGTGCAATGGTGCAATTTGGCTCACTGCAGCAATTCTCGTGCCTTTGCTTCCCGAGTAGCTGTGATTACAGGCACATGCCACCAGGCCTGGCTAATTTTTGTACTTTTAGTAGAGACAGGGTTTTGCCATGTTGGCCAGGCTGGTCTCGAACTCCTGACCTCTGGCGATCCCCCCGCCCCCCACCTCAGCCTCCCAAAGTGCTGGAATTACAGGCGTGAGCCACCATGCCTGGTCAAGAGATTCTTCTTTCAAAACGCTGAATTTGTCCAAGATGTAAGCCTTTTGGACACTAATGGCTTATTTTACATCTACCAAAAGAAGTCTTCCTCTTGCCAGCACTCGGTAAGCACACAAAAATACGTTGGCTGTCTGGGAGAACGGAGTTATGAGATTGGTTGAAGTCTAAGGACAACCTCATGGGAATATTATCGACAAGGTAATGCAGGATATAAGACAGAGGGGAGGGAAGAAAAGGAAAGCTGGGAGGAAGAAATCCAACAAAGCCAGAAAGCAGTAGGAGGTGTCAATCTGAATAATAAAATGGATCAGAATCCAGTTTAAGAGTTAATCCAAGTGAAAAGCTAACTATAGACATTTGGGAAATACAGACTTTAAAGGAATGGGGTAAGTGCTCTGAAACTGAAAAGCTAAGGTCTTATTTATAAAGGCAGAATACAGCAAAGTGTAATAGGATTACAGCACATTCCATATGTGGCTGGTTTATGAGTTACAGCAATTTGATTAGTTACAGCTTGTTTTCTTTTTCTTTTCCAATTTAGAAGTATATGTTTAACATGCCATCTTAGACAATCTAAGGTGTTTGTGTAAAAGAAGAAAGAAGAAGTTAATCTCTAATAAAGAGGTCTTCTCTGGTGCCCTTCAGTCTCATAACATTTTAGAGAACAATGTAGGTGACTAAAAGGCTACTCTATAATCAGAGAAACAGGTTACAGCTGCCTGGGTTACAGCTGCTTGTTATGTGACTCAGGTCCCGTAATTACATTCCTTTAAGGCTCAAAATGATTTAAAGTTCCAACAGCTTTGATTTTGAATTATTTATTTCACAGAGGAGATGAGGAAAGTAGAGAGAGATAAGAAACAAAGAGGAGCCTGGACACCTGGCACACTCAAGAACTCTTCAACAAAGCAGCCAGGGGTCAGAAGTCCCCGTACACACAGATCTTGCTTTGAATCATGACCACAGTTGAGTGCCTGACTCCAAGGCCATCATCTAATAGGCTGTTCTCCGAGGTATCTTTGGTACCCAAGAAGCTAACAGACCCAGTAGGATCTTCCCTCAGACAGAGAGAGGAGTTGCTTGTGACCAGGGGCCCATAAAGAATCTCTGTGGAGATTTGGGACAGAGGAGCTGACTCTCTATAGAATGCTTCAGTTCTTTATAAGGCCAGCAGTGAGACTGCAGAGATGCCTTTCTGTGTGTCGTTGTTAAAATTAAAACTAGCACTGAAGGTAAAATCTGAATGCATATGGGATATTAAAGAACTTGAGTTCCTGTGTCCACACATCTGCAAGCACACTTGTAAAAGGGCAAGGAAAGCAGTTTTAAAAACAGAATGAGCATAAAGCAGAGGTGGCCTGACATGGAGGAGGAAAAAGAGAAATGTGAAGAAGAAAATTCGCAAAGATCCTCCTCTGCTTTTCACTGGGCCTGGGGCAGACAGCTGTGCTCGTGTGCCTCTGGAAGTCATGATGCTACCTTTGTCAGCATGAGGTACTTCTTCATCTCTGAAGAACCCAAAAATAAGAGCCAGGAAGCATGGAGGCTAGTGCAAAACATGAATCCTGGTAACCTGAACACAGTAACAAAGAGTCTGGTGTTATTTCTCGAAGTCAGGCTCAAAATCCCTTAGGAATGAAATGTGCTGGAAGTATATTACTATGGCCAAATGAGACAGGAATTTCTGAAAACACTTCTAGCTTTTTATATTCATGGGGCATCCATTTAAAACCAATGCTTACTTTTTTCTTGGTTATAAAAGTAATATCATGCTCACCGTTGACATTTAGAAAATAGAGAACGTACAAAAATCAACATATATTAGCATATGTATATACCCCAGTAATCCTAACACCCAGAAAAATAAAAATCAAGGCGTTTTATAGCAATTGGTCTGTTATAGACGTTGTACCTGAACTTAAACTAGCATTATCACCGCAATGGAGTGACGTTTTAGCTGAGACTCAGTTGGCTTACCCCAGTCTGCAGAGCATGACATTTGGACCCTGCGGTTGACATGAACTAGTCATGATCCAGAATTTCAGGCCATAAGAACATGTGGAGTCAGTTCATTCTCTGTTGATGCTAACTTTGGTCTGTGCACTGCGGTATGCGTAGCCATTCAGCGGCCACAGACAGACCCAGCTAAAGATGTGAGGCACTGTGCTTACTGAAACCAGAGGAATGTGCTGCTTTTTTATTTTGAAATGAAATTAATTTGGGAGTGTGTCTTGTAAGAGCACTTGAAAGTCTTTAACATTATTCTGAGCTGTCACAGACAAACATTCTCAGGAGGTTAGAACTGAGTTCAGAGTGGACAAAGCAGGAAGAGGGTAAGGTGGAGCTCAGAGCTCTGTTCTCAGCCTGTGGAGAGGCCAAAGCAGGAAGGCAACCTTGTTTCTGAGGGAACAGGATCTTCCTGGCCTACGAGCCAGGACACACAACAGGGAGGGAATGCTGGCCTTGGGTCCTCTGGCTCTGCTGCTGCATCCTACTCAAGGAGCCCTTTCTGCAACATTCTCCTCCTAGAAAGTAAAGGCTTCTCAGCAAAGTGTCTAAAGTGGGTATTGCAAACAAAAGCCTTAAACAAAGAATTGTATTCATAATGAGCCTAACATCCTCCGCCTCTCTAGGTCCAGATGCCCACAGCAGCTACACAAGATCTAATGAGGCCTCGATGAAGCAAAGCTTTCCTCTCTCGCCCCAGAGCTTTATTTTTCTGCCAAAAAGTATACAACTTATAAATTTGGTTGCTTCTATGATTGACTTTTTCATTAAAAAAATCATTTCAAAATAATTGTTGAGCTAAGTTGCTGACCTAAAACCAGAACCCATCTTCAAAAGGATCTTGCACCTATAACATGGTCTGGAATGAATTCCAACAGGTTTTTAAGTTGATTTATTATTCCCATAGTATTCTGATAGTTAAAAAGAATAAGAAGTGCAAAGTTAAAACTAGTTATTATTGTTGCTTAAGCAGCACAACGATTCGTTCTACAACTGTAACCAACAGGTAATAGACAACATTAGAAAAATGCTCTGAAAAAAGGCATCATCTTGCAATGTATTCATTTATAAATTTTATTAAATGAAAGACAACACAATTGCAATATGGGACTTGTATCAAACTAATAACTCTCAAGATCCAGAGATAGAAATTGCAACAATAAGATTATTAAACATACCTGCACTAACTCTGCCTTTAACTCTTCCTTTTCCTCCTCAGAGAGCATGCTAGAGTAGTCAGCACTGGCTACTGCGTCTTCATCTCTTCCTTGCAATGGTTCAGTCTCCAGCAAACCTTTAGGCAAAATTGATAAAACAGAATGCAATTTTTAAAGTGAATTTAAACCAACTTCTGCTTCCATAGTGTGGAGGACTAGATGCACTGACAGACCCTCCCACTGAAAAACAACTAAAAATTCCAGAAAAGACAAAAATCCTCCTAAATGTGTGATGAGCTCCAATAAAGTAAAAAATACCAAGAAGCCAAAAAAATTAAGAGAAAATGGGAAGGCAGAGATGTAAACAGGACAAGCTTTCAGGGAGGTCTACATTCACCACTTTGGTGAATTCCAGCTCAGCTCTTCACTGTCTCATGGGGTGCAGGGGCAGAGGACAAAGCCCAAGGCCCACCCATGGAGACAAGTTTAATGTGAGACTCCTGTGTAAATTGGAGGCCCCACAGGGCTGCATCCTGAGAGTAAGGTGAACTAGAAATAAATAACTTAATTCTTCACTCAGAGATCTGCAAGGCAAGTTGCCCATCTTGAAACTCAGCACTGAATGGACAGAAAAAAAAATCCTCCCCTGAGAACTGATGACCCTGAGTGGGACTGTATGGGAAAGCAGCTTGCAACTTAATGCACACTCCCTGGGTGGTCCAAAACAACCTCAAGGTTAGAATTTAAAATATGAAGGCCTTTGTTTTCCACTGCAGGTGCGGCTAGAAGTAGCTGGGGCTGTGAGGAACCATTACTGATAAATGACTCTGGCAGAGGATAATATGGGAAGAGCTGGGGTTCTCAATGCCATCATCGTGCCCCAGGATAACCCTGAAAGCTTCTAACTTGTTATGTGAGATAAATGACTAGTCGTTTAAAATATGAACAAGTTTCTTGATAGGGCCCCTCAACATCTGGCTGACTTAAATGCCTGTGTTCTCTGGGGAACCCAGGAAACAGGCCCACACTCCTAGGAAACTTCATCTATGATGTGATTCAAGTCAGAGCTGGCATTTACACCTCTGCAGGGAAAGGAAATGAGACAGCCAAGTACAAAGGGGTTCCTGGAGAAACTCCCACCGGCCTGCTCACTGGGAGAACAGGTTGAGCCACGGAAGTTCGTGCCAGAAGTTCGTGCCGTTTGCCGGGGGTGGGAGCCTGGCCTTCCTTGTTCCGGGGTGGTAACTGAGAATTCCATCTGTGAGATGGGGGCTTGTTAACAGGAACCTCTCTTGCTTTACTGAGTTTTTCTTTCCCTCTTTGCCCAATGAATTCCATTTTTCTCACCCTTCAAAGTGTCTGCAAGCCTAATCTTTCATGGTCGGGTGACAAGAACCCCGTTTTTAGCTGAACTAAGGAGAATGTCCTACAACAGAAGGGTTTTTAATAAATTGTCCTAGAACAGTTATCCCTATAGAAAAAAACACATTGGACACCTTTCAACTATTCACATGGACAAAACCATAAACATTTTAGAAGACAATCTAGGAGTTTGTGTTTCTGAACCTCTGGGTGGGAAGGGACTTCTTAAACAAGACATGAGAAGGCAAACCATGAAAGAAAGGATGAATAAGATTAAGAATGTCTCTTTATCAAACACACTACATGGAAAATGAAAAGACAAGCCACTGATTGGAAGATGATATTTCGCACATATATAATTAAAAAGATTTGTTCCCAACATATACAGACTTCTTACAGACCCACTTTAAAACCAGAAGTAATCCGATAGAAATACGGGCCAAAAGACCGGAACAGATGATTTATCGGCAGAAATCACAAATGTTAATAAACCTAAGAAAACACGCTTGACGTCACTGATGCTCAGGGAAATACAAATTAAATTATTTCAAGCTCAGTAGATTACCAAAAAGTTACCAGTCTGACATTACTAATAACTCTCAAGATCCAGAGATAGAAATAGCATCAATATGTTGCTATTGCTGGCAAGAATATAAATAGTTAAAAATGATTTGAAAATGATTTAGTATTATCTACTTTTTCATTTAAAAAATCCATTTTTACCTATTAAAATTTTATCTATTAAAATTGAACATCCACACACCCTACAACCCAGCAATTCCACTATGTATAGACCTGAGACAATCTGCATGAGCATTAGCTACTATACATGCACATCAGAGGCCATTAATGAAAGCTTTCATAGTAGCAACAAACTGTAAGTTACCCAAAAGTTCATAAACAGGGCAATATATAACTATACTGTGGTATTTCCATGTTGAAGACTTGATAATAGCAAAATGAGTGGACGATGACAATACATATTACATGGATAAAACTTGGAAATAAGATATTGAGTGAAAAACGCAAGTTGCAAAAGAGTAAGTATAATTTTACTTAAATGAAGTACAAAAGCATACAAAACTGAAATATTACTTAGGAATTAAGGGCTGGGTGTGGTGGATTAGGCCTGTAATCCCAGCATTTTGGGAGGCCGAGGTGGGAGGATCGCAAGGTTAAGAGATCGAGACCATCCTGGCCAACATGGTGAAACCCTGTCTCTACTAAAAGTACAAAAATTAGCTGGGCATGGTGGCGCCCACCTGTAGCCTCAGCTACAGATGCACTTGAATCATCCCCAAACCATTGGGAGGCTGGGTGGGGCAGGAGAATTGCTTGAACCCAGAGGCAGAAGTTGCAGTGAGCCGAGATAGTGCCGCTGCATTCCAGCCTGTCGACAGAATGAGACTCTGTCTCAAATAAAAAGAAAAGAGAGGCAATAATAAAAAATTCAGGACTGTGGTTTTCTCAAGGCAGGGGGAAATGGAGAAAGAAATGGAAGATCTTACCATAGGGCAGGGGTCCCCAAACCCTGGGCCACCGACCAGTAACATTCTGTTACCTGTTAGGGGCCAGGCCACACCACGGGAGGTGAGAGGTGTGTGAGCTGGCAAAGCTGCAACTGTATTTATGGCCACTCCCCATTGTTTGCGTTACCACCTGATCTCTGCCTCCCATCAGATCAGTGGTGGCATTAGATTCCCAGAGGAGTGAGCCCTACTGGGAAGTGTGCCTGGGAGGGATCTAGGTTGCATGTTCCTTATGAGAATGCAATGCCTGATGATCTGTCACAGTCTCCCGTTTCCCCCAGATGGGACCATCTAGTTGCAGGAAAACAAGCTCAGGGCTCCCACTGATTCTACATTATGGTGAGTTGTGTAATTATTTCATTATTACAATGTAATAATAATAGAAATAAAGTGCACAATAGATGTAATGCACTTGAATCATCCCAAAACCATCACCATCACCCTGTGTCCATGGAAAAATTATCTTCCACAGAACCAGTTCCTGGTGCCAAAAAAGCTGGGGACTGCTGCCTTGGGACTGTTTCAGGGTCAATGGTCATACTCCATTTCCGGACACTGAATTTCTGTTCATGAGTATTTTCTCCACTTTACCTTTATATTGTAAATATTTTTTGTGTACTTATGATTATTTACTAAACAAATGAAAATGGATTTTATCTGAAGTCAAAGAGAAAGGTAAATAATTATCCTACAAAATCAGAACATTTTAGATAAAGAGAATAAAAATATGGCTGCAGTGTGTATAGCTCTGAAGCTGGCCCATCTCTTGAATCCCTGGTGTTCACATCCTTTTTTCTGGATCAATAGTGTGCCATTGGCACCCTGACGTCACTGCCAACACGCTAACACACAGTAGTAAACATGGCGCATTGCTGATTCACGTTCATCATCTCTTCGTTCCTTCTCTCTATGCCAGAAGCCAGTTTCGATGCTAAGTAATTTCCTTTTTCGTAAGTAATATCTGGCCATCATAGAAGATAGTAAGATAAAATTATCAATTTTTTTTGTACTTTTTTCTTTTTTTATTTGTATAAAATTTTTTTTTAATTTTTAATTTTTTTGGGCGCATCATAGGTATATATATTTATGGGTTACATAAGATATTTTGATATATACATATAATATGAAATAATCACATCATGGAGAATGGGGTACCCATCCCCTCAAGCATCTATCCTTTGAGTGGCAAACAATCCAATTATACTCTTTAAGCTTTGTTTTGGGTGTTTTTTTTGAGATAGCGTCTCACTCTGTCCTCCAGGCTGGGGTGTAGAGGCAGGACCACGTCCCACTGCAGCCTTGACCTCCCAGACTCAAGCGACCCTCTCACCTCAGCCTCCCTAGTAGCCAAAACTCCAGGCATCCATCACTAAGCCAAGATAATTTTTCTTTTCTTTTTCATTTTTATTGCATTTTAGGTTTTGGGGTACATGTGAAGAATATGCAAAATTGTTGCATAGGTACACACATGGCGGTGTGATTTGCTGCCTTCCTCCCCTTCACCT